ACCTTCAAAGAGGAAAATTACAAACAAGATTGAATCTCAAAACAAACAGCAACCAACATTGTCATACATCCTTACTTGGTGAAAGATAGATTAGACTGATCAGAGGGCTCGGCGCATCCCTTTTCTTGGCTTCTTCACAAAACTCAATCTAATCTGCTTAAGCCGCCTCCTCTTCCTTGCCATTTTCTCAGGCAATGTCTCCCTCTTCTTCTCTTTCTTAACAGCCTTTGGCTTCTTCATAAACTTTGGATCCACCCTATACTTTTTGGGTGTCATCGCTAACCCATTACTGAACGCTTCATTATAAAGTGCATTTGCTTTATCAAGACGATTATGTGCACACCACTTCCCTATCAACAAATCATAAGTCTTGACCCCAGGTTTGCACCCATCTGCCTTCATCATCTCAAACACACTCATAGCATGCTCAAGCCTCTCAATCCCACACAAAATCTTCAAAAAACCATAATAAGCCTTCTTATCCAGCTTATCTCCATACCCTGCACTCTTCATTCTATCAATCATCTCATCCCCCTCTCCAACTCTAGCCGCCTGATACAAGCTCCTAATCAAAACAAGAAACGTAGTCTCATCAGGAGAACAACCCCATTCGCCAATCCTAAAAAACAACTTCATCGCATCCTCAGTCCTCCTTACTTTACACAGATTACTAATCAACACATTAAAAGTATCCACACTTCTCGGAACTCCACGAATATCCATTTCCATCAACACCTTCTCCACCTCAGACTCCAACCTAAAAGGATCCTTTTCCCTACAAAGCTTACAAACACAGTCAAGCATCGCATTAAATGCCATCGTACCAATCTCGAAACCACCTCTATACATCTCCCCTGCCAATCTTTTAGCCTCCTCTAATTTCCCATCAACACACCAACCTTTAATTAACAAATCACAAATACCATCATCAGGAAATATCTCATTAGCCAAATTCTTCACCATTTTCTCAGCATAACTTGCATACCCATTTTCACACAATTTCTGAACTACAAACCTAAGACTTTCCTTATCTCTCTTAAACCCATAATCCCTTTCCATCCTATCAAAAAAACTAACAACCTGTGTTGTCCTCCCTGCTCTCACAAGCCTATCAACAATAGCCTCGAAACACTTTATCCCGGTAACACCTTTACCTTCAACAAGTAAATCATGGGTTGCTTTAAAATCCTTTCTTCTACCAAAATAATCAACAAAAAGGGCCAAAGTCTCATCATTTTGCTCAAACTTTGAATCTTTCACAAGCCAGTGGTGGAACCCAAGAACTGTACGGCCCGCATCAGGGGAAAGATTGAGTGTTTGCAGCACTAGAGAAGGTGTTAAAGCGTTGTTCTTTGTTAAGTGCGAGAAGGAAAGCTGGAGTCTTTCTGAGATTGCCAAAGGGTCAATGTTTGTATCTTTTCCAATCTCTGTAGATAGAGACTGAGCTATTGTGAGATCTGGGCTTTCGGGGTTGTTAGTGTCTAAGGTTTGAGAGGAGGAGAAGGGTTTTTGGGAGAGATAGAAGGGTAAAGGTGAGATTTTGGGAAGATGGGTAGGACTAAAATGGAAAGAGAAAGTTGGTGGTGGTGGTGGTAGAGAGGAGAGGTGGTAGCGGCGGAGGAGATGACGGAGGTGGAGCGTGGTTAAAGGTGGCATTTTTGCTGGTTAGAGAGAGACAGAGTGGAGAAGGAGCTCAGATCATAAACCCTGAAAATGTTGAACTCCAAAAACCTACAGCTTCCTGGACATGGTGAGGGTTTTGGGAATTTCAGACCCAAGCCCAAAGTAGTTTATGAGGTAAAGATGGGCCTTAGTTTTGTAACAAAGTTTAATGGGCCTTAGGCCTTCTTTGGTTTTTTTACCCTGACGTTGTGAGATTACAAAACTGCTCCATTTGATTGGTTGATGGGCCTGGACACTCTAGTGATAATTTGCACATGAACTTTTAATATTTTCTCAATTGAATACAAAAACTTTAATTTTTTTTTATTTCAGTATATTAATTTTTTTATAACAGCTTATCACATATATTTGTCTAACTTCTATCAATTATTTTGTTATCCCATAACATGTTTTTTTTCTATACTCAAATAAAAATAGAAAATAAAAAAATAATTTAGGAGAGCAAGTTTTCTTAGAAAATAAGAGGACAAAAATCATAATTTAATAGTTTAGATAAGAAAACATAAAGAACATGTCATAAGATTATAGAATAATCAACAAAAGTGATATGAAAATACTTAATTGATAGTTTTGAAAAAATTAAAATTCATATACTCGATCGAATATAAATTAAATTAGTGTATTTATAATAATGTTATTATTTCAAATAATGTATAGCCATAAGCCAAAATTTCATCTCAATGAAGAATTTAACTAGCAGCAAAAGGAAATAGCTACTTCAATGAAATTGATCACATTTAGGGAAAGAAACAAGATCGTTGGCCAAATAGCTTTTTCTCTTATATTACCACGTTGTACAAAAGGAAAAAATCCATAAATTTTTTTTTTTTTTTGAAACATCAAAGGGGACATAGAGATCAAAAGAGGAGACAAGTTTCCTTGGAGTATATAATTCTTACAATCGAACAGTCCAACTGTAATAACCCCAGGCCAAGCTCAACAGTGGATCAGCACACCATCATGGCACGTAGGAATGCCAATGGGGTGGGCCAGCCTCTGAAAATTTTGCTCTGTCCCCATCCTGTGTCTTGTGCGAGATAATATTTTTTATACCATCTTCGCTCTAAATAGGGAAAGAGATTCTCGTGGGACATAGATGTCCTGTTTAAATTTTTGTTTTCGCTCCGTCCCGTCTTATTTTATTACTAAATTTCAAACTATAGCAAAAAAACAATAATTCATATAGAAAATAAATCTTAAGAGTTAGTAGTCTCAAATTTTATATTGGGTATAATTATAATTTGAAGAATGAAGTAGGACAAACGAAAAGGGGTAAGTAAATACCATTCTCGTTCCATCCTAATTCAAAATAGATATGAGATGAGGTCCAATCCCCTGGTCAATTCGAAGAATTCTTGTGTTGACCGCGGGCGCGCGGAGGGATTGCCATTCCTAATGCCATAATGGCCTTGGCCTGCCACAGCTTTTTCTTTTCCAATTGGTGAGAGAATGACAGATTTTATGCTTTATAGAGAACCAAAATGTGAATCTCAAGAGCAACACAAACAGTGTAGGAAACAGCAAATACAACTCAGGGAAAACAAAGACTTGAAACAAGAGTTAAGAGAAACTGCCCCACAATTTGCCAAGCAGCATACTTACTGAACATTGACTTCTTGGACCTACTCTTGAGTTTTCTTGGCCCTGAAAATTTAATTTCAGAATTGTTACCGGAGTTGAATCTCTTATGCTTGACATGAAAATGGATGCAGCAATGTAAAATGCAAGCAATCCAGCCATCTTTAATGTAATGCAGCTTTCAGAGGAGCAAGTACAGTAAATTGCTATTGACAATCCTTTGTTCAGGGTGGAAAGATGGCATTATGGACATTGCAGAGGAGAATATTTTTCCTGTTCAAGGTTGGACAAGTTACCGATAATAAACATTACAAAGTAATTGCAGTAGAAACGTTTAAGCAACAAAGATAACAGCCAATTTTTGAAGTGAATACCAACTCTGGCGGTGGTTAATGCAATGCAAGTCACTTCGGTTTCTCCATTAAGCTTGTCTTATGCATGTGAGCACTGGGTATAAGTAAAGGCACTACTTCAAAGCAATTCCAATCAAACAAATTAGCCTCAGAAGTGAATTCTGACCAAAGAAGCTAAGAGTCCATCATCCATGGCTGAGAAGGAAGGAGGAGTTGTCGCAAAGGGTCATGAGGAAGGGCTTAAAATGGCAACCTCTCTTCTCGAGGAGTTTGCACTTCCCCTGGGGCTTCTCCCTCTCGCAGATGTGATCGAAGTTGGTTTTGTTAGGAGTACTGGATACATGTGGATCGTTCAAAAGAAGAAGGTTGAACACAACTTCATGATTGCCAGCAAACTTGTGGGCTATGACACTAATATAACTGGCTATGTCAGCAAAAGGTTGATAAAGAAACTCAAGGGAGTGAAGGCTAAGGAACTCATGCTATGGCCTCCAGTAAATGAGATAATTGTTGATGATCCACCCAGTGGAAAAATTCACTTCAAAAGCCTTGCTGGCATCACCAAAACATTCCCAGTTCAGGCATTTGCTGCAGGTCAGTAATGCACACCAAGAATTCTGTAGTTTCATCAGCTGCCTGCAATGGTTCCACAAGATCTATATCTTAAATATAGCCAGCTTCCTTTTTTGCATTTCATTTCCTACTCCATTTTGCAATTCTCTCACCAAACGATGGTGAGCTAAGCAAAACAGTATTTCATAAAGACAATAAAAGTAAACTCTAATTCTGATTAAAAAAAAGAGATGCTCATGTTAGTTGTCTAAATTACCTTTAATGCACTCGACAAATTTTAATTGCATTTGCAAATGCTTCTACTTCCTTCAGAGCTGGTCTCAAATTCTTAGCCTGTGCAAAGATAGACATTCCAAAAAAAAAAATTGCTCAGATCGAGCCCATCAAGAGATCTCGTCTGAACTGCAGGAAGTTGATGAGTTCCCTCAATCGCAGCAACTTCTAATAGTATCAAGATATTTATTGAGCAAAAAATATTCTGCAATATAGACTTACGAGGACTCTCTCTCTCTCTCTCTCAGGGGGAAAAAAAATTGAGGGGGAGAAATAAATGGAACTTAAAAATACAACAGTAGTTGAATGTCCTAAGCCTAGACCCAAAATGTGCAGATAGCTAACTACTTACTGGAAGTCCTCTTTACAGTGACCAATACCCAAGTAACTAGAAAAGCAAAACAATTTGACAACCAAGCAGTAAAATGAGCTTAAAAATTGTAACTGTTAGCAATCAGCATTAGAATGGGCTTCTCGGTAGAAAATAAAGCATTAAAATGCACTTAATAAAGGAAATTAGGGTAAGCATGAAATGCCACATCAGTGCCAGAAGTGAGACTGAAAAGGACATATGGAGAAAAGGATGACATACTTGATTGCTGCTTTTCCTTTCTCCTTGTATGGCTTAACAAGCACCAAAATCAATTCTGCTGGTCTGGAAACCTGGATCTTGATGGTCCCCAGAACTGAGAACATTACAGGATAGTATATCATCATACCTTTTTTCCCCTTCCAAAAATCATGATCAAAATTTTCTCCTTTACAAGACCAAATACAATTAGTTGCACAGTTTTCACTCTCTGCCTTTTTTTTCCCCCAGAGCGTACTCCAAAAAGTCAACACTTGAGAATAGTACAAGTTCTGCAAATATGCAGAATTTACAAAGCAGGGAAGTGATCGGTAATAGATCAGTGTCCAAAAACAAACGTATAATTCACCAAAAGAAACGACAGCATGTAACCAAAAACACAGCAAGCAAAAGAGTAATTCAGCAAAACAAACAGCCTATAACAATAGCATATGATTCAGCCTGAGCCTACAACAAGCATGAACCACAACTCTGTGGAAAACTAGCACAATACCAGCCAAAAACTTGTGCTTCAACTCACACTCTAAGGATTGACAGGCTCGTTTTATCCCCTTTTCCGCTTTAGCTGGAGACTAACCTGGATTTTCAGAATAAATAACACAGTATCGAAGAGCAAAAATAGCAGGAGCTATTGCTAGGACCTCAGCATGCTGCACTACTAGCAGTTTGAAACAGCTCCAAAGTACTTGTTTAACAGGTTTGAAGGCGAAACAGCTGAAGGATCCAAATATGAATAGCATTGTTATAGTAACAGTTCCGATCATCAACAACAACTCAAAAGAAACAGCAGCCAATCACACGGTATACAGAGAATAACAACTACTTTCTATTGCAGGGACCAAGTCACACATCGGCAGCTTGTTGCAGGGGCAAAAACAAAGCTGCAGGTGAGCACAGCATACAACAAGATTACATTGTATGGATCCAGAGCTGTACCAGATCAAAAACAGAATAGCATATATCCATGCAGGGAATTCTGACTACCTCCTCACACCTTGTTCCACCAAGTCCATGAAAGAGTTGGCTTCCTGCACAATGTATTTGAAGACAACCTTTTTGAATTTTGTTACCAGAGAGAAGATGCCATTACAATCAACCTGCATTTTCCAAGGGTGCTCGCCCTCCCTAGCGAGCCACAAGACGACATGGAGTGAGCAGGTACTGCTTCCAAACTTGAAAATAATTCTAGGGCCCTTCTGATAGCTTTCAGTTCAGGGTAATTGGAATCCATAATGCCAGATGGAGATGAAACACACTGCCCCATCACAGTTTTCCCAAGGACTCCCTCAATTCCAGTAGGACAAGCTTGCTCTCAGAGAGTCATCATGCTCCATTTCAGCCAGTTCTCAGGTGGGCTCCACAGTTTGCACTGCCTAATTATGTCCAACCATTTTGCAATGCAATCGGCAGTTAACAACAAATTGTTGGGGAGTCAGTGAAATCCTTGATACATAAATCCAAGCTCACAGCCTGCCTGTGATTATGATAAATAGGTCACTGTCATGTGGATCCTGGTGTTCAAATATCACATCATTATGCGGCAGCCTCATCGACCATAAGATGGCAAAGAAAAATGTCACCAAAGCTATCTGTTGGAAAGAACCTGCGCAAGAGACTCCCATTCAAGAACAGTCAAAACTTACCTTAGATCCTATCTCTTCATACTCCGGAAGCAAGAATACAAACACATCCATGAAATCCATCCTTCAAACCCACACATCCCCAGCTTAAGACATCAGTAATATTCATATAAAATACTTCAAATTCCAATGACAAGTATGCATTTTACTTTCCTTCTTCTGATAGACGAGACTACTTTTTTATTTTTTTCCCCAATAAGCTATCCAGCATTCATGTATCTCATCCACCATAAAGATTGTACAATTCAGATTTATATGGTTCCAGACAACTATAAACAAGAATATTTGAAGCAAGCACCATGATGGACAGAAACAACACAAATTTGTAAAAGCAATTGGACCATAATTGAGTGCAATTTAGAAATAAGGACCAACCATGCCACTGACACATGCAGGCACAGCTTTAAATAATGCAAGGTACTAGCCAAAATATGTCTAGAGCTGTCAGAAACCTTCTCAAGAGAAAACTAAGCAATCAAACTTCTTTTTCTCCAAAAGCTGCTTCACAAAATAGGATGCAAATATTATTGCTAATAAAACCAATTTTTTCTTTTTACTATACAACAATAAGAATACTGAATATTAATGGAAAAGATTGAAGCTGTAAGTTAAAGTCCCAAAATACTAAGGATTACAAGTGTCAGCGGCACAAACTGATACCCTGAGGGCAATGGTGATCCTTCAAGCCCATCAAAAGTTTATGACAATTGATCGAATTACTCTACAGAGAAGGCCAAGGGAGAAATTAACATATCAAGAGCAACATAGTAAAGTGGACCATTTACATATTTCCAAAGAGCAACAAAATGAAAAGCCATTATATATCAAAATTTTGTATTAGACTTGTATGGATTTACAGGATTTGCAACAAAGATGAAAGCACTAGTTCTGGCAGAAATACAAAAGACATCTGCTCCAAGAGAAAAAAAGTCCTTTGCGACTAATTTCTCAAATAATAATAATAATTATTATTATTATTATTGCTGCCATGAACACAAAATTGTAACTTAAACCTTTTTGCCGCCCATAGTCCCATGCTGTAACCTCTCAAATATTACCAGAATTGAAAACATACAAGTCCAGCAAGGTATTGTAGTACCCTTTCTCAATTTCCTCCTGTTTCACCTGATGAAGAAGGAGGGTCTCGATGACAAAATCCTCCCAATCAATATCTTTTACCGGTGATTTTCTTTTCCTCTTCTGATCCAGTGAGCCTTCAACCATGCAAGCTTTGCCAATACCTGAATCAGCATTTTGTGGATTCATGATCCTATCAATCCGTAGCTTTGCTGCATTTATCTTTGCTCTCCTCTTTTTAATTGTCGTACAACCATTGACAAAAGATGGAGGCATAACACTAAATCCTACATCTTTCTCCAATAACTGTTTTAGCAAAAGCTTCTTGCTCAACTCCGATTTCCCATTCCACCATTCTGTTGCCTGAATCTCAAGCCCTCTCTTCCTCTTCCTCCCATGAACCTTTCCACTTTCTTCCATATATCTACCACAACCACCATCCATCAGGAACTTGTCATAAATCATGGACAAGCACTCATGTGAAAGCTGAAGCTTATCCACCTCATCAATGCCAGTCTTATCAAACCCAATTGTATCTTCCAACTCAAAATATCGCAAATCCTCATATTCCAAACTATCTTCTTCAACCCCATACTCAACATTCTTCTTCAAACACTCACCAACCACTTCTCCCAAATCAAACCCATTACTGCCCGAATCATTTCTTTCCCCACCACTCTTCGCAATACACTTCATCTCCAAATATCGAATCACAAATGGCGCATTTTTCACCGCGTTCTTCATATTCACATCCTTCCCCCATGGCAACATCTCTTGTGCTAACTTAACAATCACCTCCAACAATTCCTTATATCTCAACCTACAAGTAGAAACAGCAACATGAACCTCTCTCGCAAGCTCCTCAATCTTAACCCCCTCCACCCCATTCAACTCAGCAACCAAAACCAAAACCGCCACAACAACTGGCAACGGCCTCCTCCCTGTCGTCAAAAACCACTTCACAGCACATTGCACCAAAAAAGTCCCTTGTTTCTTCACCCTCTCCAATAAATCCCCCTCAACCCTCCCCGAATTCGACAAACTCCGAACCACTCTCTCAAAACTCCCCACTATATCAAAATCTGGCAACTTAATCCCCACATGCTCAACAACTCTCATCACCATCCTCCCCAATTCATGAATATCACACCCAACAACACTACTCACCTCCTCAATACTCAAACTTTTATTATCATTTCTCATTACAACATAAACACAAGCACCAACAAAAACACTAAACCATTTACTCTCACTTGAACCAAACTCCCCTTCAGTAACTCTCTCAATCATATCTCTAATTTCAATAACTTTTGAACCACCGGTTAAGCCTAACTTAAAAACAATATCATCTATTAAATTATTTGCTTCATAAATCTTCTTCTCTTTATATTTCAAAACACTACCATAACCTGACGAACCTATATTTACAAACACACCTGTTGGGCCATTAATGTTAAAGGTACGTTCTTGAAAGTTGTTGAAATCCTGGACGGTACCACATGAATCACATATCAAGTTCTCTGTCACGTCATCCCTGATAAGGGTTCTGTGCCCACAAGCTTTGCAGGGCATTTTGGGGAACTGGGTTTTTTCTCTCGGAGTTTGGGTGCCAAGAAAGTTTGGTTTTCTAAGGAAAGTTTTGGGATTCTGAGTAGGGTAAAGAGGGTCTGACGCAGAAGAAAGAAGAGAACAAGGTGGAGGAAACGACAGCGTTTAATTGTTTGTCTGGCATCGAGGAGGAAAACATGTTATGTTTACAAGTCTGAGCCCTGAGGTCCTCCGCAGGTCGGTCGGTTTAGGCTGTCTCTAGTCCAAAACCCTTTTTGAAGCCAAAGTATGTTTTAGTCCTTATAGTTTTTGGGTCTACACTAGTGCCTTCGAGTTTTAAATTAATTATTAATTTTAAACTTATTATAATTAGTCCGCTAAGGTAAAAATATGTGTTTTTCGTAAGTGCTAAAGACACGTGTGGTTGATTTTATGATAAAGATAAAATGATAAAAAGTATAAACTTCAACGTTTTAAGCTCTTTTGATATAAATATAATGGTAATATTATCAAAGATATGCTACAATATTATTTTAGCTTGTTCAAAAAGAACAAATATTGATATTATTGTTATAATATTAATGGTGAAATAAGATTAGTTAGCAATTTTGGTGTGAAATTTCATTAATTGCTCATTTCAAAAGTAAAAATATGTTTTTTTTATTAAAAGGTAAAATGATTAAATTCGTTTGAATAAAAATTAAAAATGGCTTTACTGAGATGAAACTATTATAACAATACCAATGAACAAAAAAAATACTTGATTATTAATATAATTATCAGAGAATATCTTAAAAAAAAAAAACAAACGAGATAAACTTCTCACGTTATAGAAAAAACAATAAACTCAAACTTTCATGTGGTAAAAATAAAAATCATTATTTAAGTTTAATCATTTAGCAATAAGATTCACATTAACGACCATCATCATCAACAACATAATAAAAATAATAATAACTCAAAAAGTGAATGTAATTAAGTATAATAAAATCATATCACATATCAAATATCTTATGTAATCTAATTACACAAATTCTTTTTAAAAATATGGCTTTATGAATGCTACAATGGTTTATACATATCGAATCTCCATCCATCTTTTCTTGAATTTATTGTGGTAATTTAATTTAATTCATCATTTAAGACTTAACAAATTTAGAATTTAAATACGTTCTTTTTTAAGAATTAAGCTTTGGGGACTTGATTGATGCGAATAAGAGTTTACGCACTAAACGAATCATTCCACAAAATACAGGGACAAGTTAAATCCTCCAAAAGCCATATACGTATAAAGCTATCAAAGTCGCATGCTTCGTCGCATACAAATCTAAAACCTAAAATAGCCTCCAGTTTAACTCAAACTCATCTTCTCTCTTTCCTCGTCAGCTTCGGCTCTCTGCATATACTTTAGATCACTCTTTGTATCACAAAACAGCTCGATCTCACATTTCCTTTGCAGGTAAAAAAAATTTTGGGTTTTGGGTTTATTCTTCTTTCCTATTTGATTCAATTTTTTTCTTGATTTAAGTTGAAAGAGTTTGAGGGTCTAAAAAATATGTGATTTTTTTTGGCAGGCAAAAGGGTGTTGAATGATGGCAAGTGATGGCTTGAAAACCCAAGTTCCTGTTGAAGAAAATGGAACTAAAGAAGAAGAGAAAATTGGGAATTTAAAGGCTTCTGTTAGCAATGAAAACGGTGAATCATCTGATGTTTCATCTGTAATACAAAAAGAAGAAGAAGAAGAAGAAAAAGCAGAAGAAGAGACCAAAGGTGATAGTTTATGTTATTGGATTATGCTTGAAGTTTCTTAGTTTATCGTTTTGGTAGTGTTTTGCTATTGGGTTATGCATGAAGTTTTTAACTTATCATATTTTTAGATTTTCATAGGCGTTAATCACTTTATTTGATCAATTTGATTATTCTCTATGTCTAAGCTTCCAAATAATTGAAAGGAAAAAGAGGCTATCTTTTTCTTTGAAATATTGAAAATAGAATTTATCAGTGGAACTAGGTTTTTATAGAGCTTGTCAATCTTTTATATTGTTATTAATTTAGCAAATGTACGAATGTTTTTGACTTATAAGGAGGATTTTGAGAAAAAGAAACAAATTTGATTGATTCTCATTATTAATGTTGGGAATTTTCTTCGCACTTGGGATGGGATGGGATGGGACGGGACAAGAAAAGGGTTTTTTCTCTATGCCTAAGCTTCCAAAGGATTGAAAGAAAAAAGACACGACTGTTTTCTTTGAAATCTTGAAAATAGAATTTATCAGCGGAACTTGGTTTATATAGAGTTTGTCAATCTTATATGCTGTTGTTAATTTAGCAAATGTACAAATGTTTTTGACTTATAAGAAGGATTTTGAGAAAAAGAAACAAATTTGGTTGATTCTCATTATTAATGTTGGGAATTTTCATATGCGTATCAATTCATTGTAATATGTGGGGTTTTTATTTTTTTGTGAGATATAAGAAAACACTTATTGGTAATTATTATCTCATTTGAGGCGATGTAATGATTTAATTCTAATGTTGCGAACATATGAATATGTGTGCATTTGGAAATTGTTTTCTTGCAGAAGTCACAAAGAAGAAAAAGAAGAAAAATAAAAGCAAGTGAGGACTCCTTTCTATCTTGATTATCTTTCCCTGGGAACATTTTCATCTGCTAGCCAATAATTTCTCTTTCTATAATCCACAGGAAAAAGAAGGAATTGCCAAAGCAGACTGATCCCCCTCTATTCCCGTTGCTGATCTCTTTCCATCTGGGGAGTTTCCTGAAGGTGAAATTCAACAATACAAAGACGAGTGAGTATATGCTGTTTTCTTTTCCCAATCTCTTGCCTCATTTTTTTCAACTTGACCTGAACTGATTAGCTTTATCTTTTTTTCTTTGAAAATCGATGGGAACTTGATCTTTTAGTAATTTGTGGAGGACTACTTCTGAAGAGAAAAGAGAGTTGGAGCGTCTTGAAAAGCCAATGTATAATTCAGTTCGCCAGGCAGCAGAAGTTCATCGCCAGGTTGGTAATAGGTCTTATGTATAACTTTACTCCTGCTCTGCATTTGGTGTCATCTTCTTGAAATTCTGTCTACTTTTTTTTAGGTTCGGAAGTATATGAAAAGCATTTTGAAGCCTGGAATGTTAATGACTGATCTATGTGAGACCTTGGAAAACACAGTTCGTAAGCTAATATCAGAGAACGGTCTACAAGCAGGCATTGCATTTCCTACTGGATGCTCTCTGAACTGGTGAATGCCAAGTTTATATCTGGAGATTTAGTCATTTGGAAAAAAAAACCCCTTTACATGGTTGTATCTTTATTAAATTTCTTTTTTGTTGTTAGGATCGCTGCTCATTGGACCCCAAATTCAGGGGATAAGACTGTGCTTCAGTATGATGATGTGATGAAATTGGATTTTGGAACCCATATTGATGGTTAAAACTTCTATAGTGCATTTTGTTTTTTATGGTTTAATTCATACATTTTTTCTCAGAACTGAGTTGTTGGTTCAGCACTTCTGTCTTTCTCAGCTAGAGCCTTTTAATTGATAGATGATTTTTGAATTTGCAGGGCATATTGTGGACTGTGCATTTACAGTGGCATTCAACCCTATGTTCGATCCACTACTAGAAGCTTCACGCGAAGCAACCAACACGGGTATCAAGGTGCTGGCCTTTTATCTCTGAAACTGATTTTCATTTTGTTATGAGCGTGTATTGTGCCAAAGGAAGGATAGTTTTAAAAGTTGTGTCATCTAAGTCTTAATGCTGACCATGCAGTTTTTCTCGATGGAGACTCATGTTTGACTTCCAAAAATGGCAAGCTTTGTTATATTTGATAAGTTTAGTTGACATTCAAATGAAGTTCTTGGGCACATAACACACTGCACGCTGTTTCTTTCCCTATTATAAATTCTCACAAAATATCATTCTTGCATTCCCTATCTGCATGAACTCCCTTCAAAAGGGTGCTTTATAGCCTGCCCCACTCTGTTACCTTTCACCATCTGTTTTTCCATTGCTAGTAGATTAGAGAATCTTTAAACGGGTTTTCTTATAGGAGTGAAGAGAGGTTTTACTAACATAAATCAGGATAGGGGTTCTAAGTGTTGAGGACCTTTTGCTTTTTCTCTTGAGAGGATTAAGGACTTCATTTCGTTTGTTATAACTGTTTTCAAAACCTAACCACTCTGAAGAGTTTGTCACTCGTGCTTAACTATTTGCAGTGTAGAGCATGCTCTAATTTTGATTTTTATTTTTCAGGAATCTGGGATCGATGTGCGTCTTTGCGATGTTGGTGCTGCCATCCAAGAAGTCATGGAATCATATGAGGTTGAAATTAATGGAAAGGTGTTTCAAGGTATGGTGTTTATTTGATGCTGCATTTCAATGGTTGGTTGGTACACTAATGTAGTGTCTACTTGATTGTTGTTTTTTTGTCAGCACTTCATGTAATGCAAGATTACAAACATTAGATAATAATTTTTAGGCAAGTAAAGTTTCAAAATTGTTGCCTTATTATTAGTGTTTAAGTTTCTACAGACAGATTTTGATAGAACTGGAATAACATTTGCTGACAAACAATTTGGTGAACAATTTCTTTTCATCCTAAAAGATTGTAATCTGTTGAATGGAGTGAATGAACAACTTGGAAGCTAGTCTTATTGAAGTTCTGTTCTCATTTTCCCTTCCAAGGCATCTGGGTCTAAGATCCAGTAAATCCTATTCGAAATCATGCTAGTCTGTTGATTTATTTGTAAAAGCACCCATGAATGCATATTTGTGCGTGACATGGACTTGAAATGTTATTGGCAGTAAAGAGTATCCGAAATTTGAATGGGCACAGCATTGGGCCTTATCAGATTCATGCTGGAAAATCCGTTCCCATTGTTAAAGGAGGGGAGCAGACAAAAATGGAAGAGGGTGAATTTTTTGCAATTGAAACATTTGCATCTACAGGTAATAGTTGTTTCACCTGGTAGGGGATTGATTCATATTTGGAAAATGATGGCAGTTGGTGATCATTGTGACCTATGGTGTAATGAGTCTTTTTCTGTTATATCTGCAGGCAAAGGATATGTAAGAGACGATCTAGAGTGCAGCCATTACATGAAAAAATTTGATGTTGGCCATATGCCACTTAGGTTGCCAAGAGCAAAGCAACTGCTAGCAACAATCAATAAGAACTTCTCCACATTGGCCTTTTGTAGACGTTATTTAGATCGCCTGGGAGAGACTAAATATTTGATGGCACTAAAGAATCTGTGTGATTCTGGCATCGTTGAGGTATTGCTCAATTCTTTCATGTCCAAGTAATCCTCAATTTTTATGTCCCAACAGTCTGTGCACCAATCTGGACTACAGATAACTTAAATAGCCGTGTGTGTTAATAAAAATGTTGCCCATTAAGTTGTCATCAGGTTCATCATAGATCCTCAGTACTCCCACTGGTTTGCTGTGTTCTTGATGTCTTGTTCATTTATTTATGGTGAATTTTGCAATAACTTGAAGACTCTTATTTCTCTAGAAAATATTGGGTACACGCTGCAGTTATTCTGATTAACTAGGTAGCAGCTGCAATTCTATCATCATGACCACAGAGGGCCAAGATAACTGCAACAGAAATAATGACTTGTTTAGTTTTTCTTTATTGCTCTGTCATAAATTTATTATATCCATTGTAGTAATTCTTCCTCCTTTTTTACTTTGGCAGCCTTATCCTCCTCTATGTGATGTTAAGGGCAGTTATGTATCCCAATTCGAGCATACCATCTTACTACGGCCAACCTGCAAAGAGGTCATATCGAGAGGCGATGACTACTAGTGTGGATTGAGTTAAATTTTGTAAGTGAATCATGTATGCCTGTCGATGACCCTGTGACTGTATTAGTAAAAGATGGAGTTGAATGTGTAGCTTACTTATCTTCATTGCCTGTTTTGTAACTGCCGGTCTTAGTGAACCAACAGCTTGTCTATGGTAAAAAAGAATTTGAATGATCCATGTATCACAATTATGATTTTAACATTGAAATGTCTGTCACAAGGGACACCCAATGGAGACATGAATTCTTTGAAATCTTGTGTATCGGATTTTAAACTTATCTATAATATTTGAAAATGTGTTAGCAGTAGCATTCAAACTTTGCTGCTAGCCAAAACTACCAGGAAACTTACGAAGGAAGAACAGACAGAGAAGCTTAGAAAAGTTGAAAACCATAACTCAATTTGCATGCTTTCAAATTTAAATGTAATGCATGTCTAACTACTTGGAGTTTGCAAAAATGAGCACAATCCCCTCGAGGCCGAAGGATAAAAGAAATACTCTCATGGATTTAAACTGGTCTTCTATGTCACTTGCTTCTGTTATTGTTGCTTATTGTGGACAGACACTGCAGAAAATTTACTCTGAGAAAAACTTTCCAGTTTTCAAAAACTTAGAATCCTAAAACGAGGAGCGGAAATGTTACCAAACCATGTCTAAACTTTCCTCGAAAGTTTGATCACATGGGAGGCTCCTAACTAGGTGATGCAAACTGATAAAGAAAAATGGGAAGTGAGAAGTGAATCTGTAAGGGGCTTCAACCATTGAAGGCACTTCTTTCAAATCTGAATTGTTTAAGTGCAGGATCATGTATTTCACTGAAAATGTTACCAGAGAAATAGAAACTCTTGCGGCCTCTGAATTAAATGCTTCCACTTTCCTCGATTTAGTCGAGGATCAAGTCAGCATGGACAGTTTGTCGTGGATGGATTCTTTTAATTTGTGTATCCGATTGGATCAGTTCGTAACTAAATGTCGGAAACATATTGCAAGGAATAAATCAAGAACATTTGTTGAAATGGATAGAGCACTTAGATATGACATGGTTGGTTCTAGAAGCGAAATCCCGAAATGGTTCAACTATCAGACTCTTGGTGACTCAAGAATAACTATGCAGCCGCCACCAGTTTGGCATGATAAGGATTGTGGATTTGCCTTCTGTGCAGTTTACGAAAACCGGAATAATCGACCGAGGCTACACGCAACATTGAGGCTAGGTTTATTGACTTGTGAAGACGGTTCCGTGACTGCAGGTAAAACCTATCACACTCCTACAGAAATCTTCAATTCAAAAAACAACGTCAGGTTTTTGGTCAGCTGGTATTTTCATGATACTTCGGTTGCTATCTTGTCCACTTCATCTCGTTTTTTTCTTTTCTTTTTTCTGTTTTTATCCCTCTCCGACTATTCATCAATAAACAAGAGGGTGGAACTTTCTTTGCTATTGACTCTTTTCAACCCTAAAAGCTAGCTCAAAAAACACTTATAACCAAGCACCTATCTCCTTTCACAATCTACTTATGTTTCAACTCTTTCTTTGCTATTGATTTGTGTTAAGAGTTACTTTGTATCATGCTCCATCCATTTAGGCTGAAAATCAATTTTTATGACTCTGTTTTCCAGTTGTTGATTATGTTTCTGATAGAGATTTGTTGGGCCCTTTAAAGGACCTTCTGTAAAAAAAAATCCTCTGTTAACCTGATGCTGCTTGTCCAATGCTGCATGCATTTTGCTTCGTGTCGTGTTGCTGCTGTCTGTGTACGCTCGGGACGGCATAGGATCTTCTGTGGGGATATGTCACTTACCATGCTGCCATTTTTCGTCTTTTTTTATTTTTTGTCATGCTATGATTTGGTGCAAGGAATTTTGCTATCCCCCAAAAAGGAAAGACGAAGATGCAAAGACAAATTAATTAAAGTTAGTATAGTAAACGGGTTTTTTCTACATTTGAACCCTCTACTTTTTAATTTTTGTTTCATTGGAACTTCTTTTTGTTTTAACTCGATTAAGACATCCTATTCTTTAAGATTTTTTTACCTTAAATTTTTTATTATAATATTATTGATCAATGATTGACATGTCATGTCTATTTTTTAAGATTTTTTATTACATAATATCACATACTGATTTGTAAAGTTATAACAAAAAATTAAAAAAAAACAATTAAGCAATAAAAAATCTCAATCAAGTAAAAACAATGAATTTAATATATATATATATACACCACAGACTTTGGATTAGCCCTAGGGATGAGAAAGAGTGAGTATTTTGATCATTAATTTAATTTTTTACTCTATTCATAAAAAATTTTACTATATAAATCTTTATTCAGCTCATACATGACCACGTTAGTTTAATACTTATTTAATAACGATTAAAAATAATTTATTTTAATCTCTATAATTTTCAAGAAAATTTTTTTTGATCCTTAAATTTAATTTTTTACATTTTGGTCAGTTCTTTTATAAGTTTTTTGATCCTTTAGGTTTTTTTTTAAAATATTTTGATCCTTAAATTTTAAAATTTATGCAATTAAATTTTTTATATATTTTAAAAAAATTAAAATAAATTACTGGATGTTAATAGAGTAAAACATGAATGCCTATACTCTGAAATCATATATATATATAAATATTTATTTTATATCTGATGCATTATCATCTCTAATTAGCTCCAGTAGAAATGTTATGATACTGATGTTTATTAGACCGAATAAATATCCAGCGTATTGCTATCCCTCACTGGCCCTCGTAGCAATGTTCTGATATTGAAATTTTAGCTTTGTCAAAGTCAAGCAAAACAAATCTTGGGTCATAAGACAAATAACGATGCAAATCTAAGTAGGACAGAATCCTAAGACGACTTCTAAAAGCCATCAGTGGATGTCTTCCACATGCGACAAGCGAAGGTGAGGACTGAGGAGGAGGTGGAGGAAAGTGAAGATAGAGCCACTCTCCTCTAAATTTGTTTGCGTGCAATTGGGTCCAGTGCAGCCCAAAGACGAGGAACAGATCCATGAAAAAGTCAGCAAGTTAGGTCCATGAGTACTTTTGGTTTCTGTTAATTGTCCAAGACATTTCTTTATAGATTCTCTTCTATCATTAACCTAATCTCGAATAGTTGATTTGACGGTAAAGAAATTTATTTCTTTTTTGATTCTTGAATTTGAAACTTAAACATAACATTTAACTGAATTTATCATAATAAATACATTAAATGAATTTGAAAATATATTTTTAAAATTATTTAAAATATAACAAGCCCATAAAATTTTTTTATTATTATTTTTTTTTATCATCATTGATATTTGTAAATAGTGAAATATTTTTAAATTAATTCTAATAATAATCGAAATTAAATTCATTATTTTTTAAACTAGGTTAGTTTTAAATTACATCTATCATTTGATCGGTTTAGGTGTTAGATTCTTTGAATTTACAAGCAAATCATGTTCAGAGTCAAGTGAAAGAGAAGAACAAATTTTTCAACGATGATTATCAAACATCTAATCTGATGAAAAATGACCGTGAACCACAAGATTTCATCCAATGGTTAGAAAAATGCCATGTCAGTGAAGTCATCACTGTTTGGAGACATCCTGAATACAGTCAATCCTTTCTCCTTTTCTAAAGCCATACTTGCCCAATCATGCACCTCCTTTATTGCAATGGCAAAGCAAACCCCACCTTTGGTAGAGCGTATAGTCCACGCCCAAGCAATGAATGTCAACTTCCTGCATCGCCAACCCTTTGAGGTGAGTGTTTGACCAAAACTTCCTTCTCTTCTTCCAAATGATTTCCTTCTTCCTTCTCTCTGCAGTTCAAGCTATAGCTCACAAGCTAAGATAGATAAAATCCAAAGCAAAATCTAAAGACAATCGAGAAGATACATGGGCATGGGGGGCTACGCTAATCTTGATTTGTTAAGGTTTCTTGTCGTAGTATTCCTTTCTCTTTCTCTTACCTTCGCAGCAGAAACAAACTCTGTAACGAACAATATGTCATCAACCACATGTCCCATGGACCTTAACTATGTCTTAAGAATCCCATGGAACAGAACTCTTTGTCAGAACTTCCACCCTCCTGATCAAGATGACAATACCAACACCACTAGCAAGCCCCCATGTTGCCAAACTATACTTTCCCTCTTTGGGGTTGCTCTTGCCCAACATCTCAAAGAAACCTCTCTTTTTCACCTCTCAAATTTAGCTACCGCTAATTCTTGCCTCCAAGATTACCAGACGAAGCTCAATTCTTTTTCTCTTGCCAACAATCTTGTCTCTTACTGCTTTGACCCTTTACAGTTTGTTGCAACGCCTAACATCTGTGCCCATATACAGTCATCTCAAGATTGGGTTGCTCAACTTGGTAAGTCAACTGCGCTTGATACAGCCTGCAGGTCTGATCTCACTGATCTTACCGCTTGTGATGCATGTGTTAGAGCTGGTTATTCAGCACAGTCCATGTTGTTGTCTATTGATGGTAATCAAACTCATGCTAAAGATTGTTTTTACTTTGCAATTCTTTATGCTGCTGGTCTTGTTAATGAGTTCGGTCCTGAAAGTGATGGTGCTGTTTCATGTATATTTGGTTTGGATTTAAATTCAAGTGTTGGTTCAGCTAGTAAGGCTCATTCTGCTCTTGTTTTTGGCTTAACTGGTGCTAGTGTTGCTGTTTTGGTAATGTTTAGTTTTCTAGGATTGTATTTTTGGTATGATAAGAAATGGAAAAGGAAAAAGAATTCAGGGTTTGGTTTTGATTTAGATGAACAAGGGTCTAGGCCTAAGCTGAGGCCGAATACTGGGTCAATTTGGTTTAAAATTGAGGATCTTGAGAAAGCAACAGATAATTTTTCGCAGAAGAATTTTATAGGGAGAGGTGGGTTTGGTTTTGTTTACAAGGGGACTTTATCTGATGGGACAGTGGTGGCTGTTAAAAGGGTCATAGAATCAGATTTTCAGGGTGCTGCAGAATTTTGCAATGAGGTTGAGATTATTAGCAACCTGAAGCACCGGAATTTGGTGCCACTCAGAGGGTGTTGTGTGATTGATGGTGATGGAAGTTATGATGAGAGAGGGAATCAAAGGTATCTGGTTTATGATTACATGTCAAATGGGAATCTTGATGACCATTTATTTCCAGCATCAGATAATCAAATTGGGAAGCAACCTTTAAGCTGGCCTCAAAGGAAGAGCGTAATCTTAGATGTGGCGAAGGGATTAGCTTATTTACACTATGGAGTGAAGCCTGGAATATATCATAGAGATATCAAGGGGACAAATATATTGTTAGATGCTGATATGAGAGCAAGAGTTGCTGATTTTGGGTTGGCAAAACAGAGTAGGGAAGGGCAATCTCATCTTACTACAAGAGTGGCTGGAACTCATGGGTACTTAGCACCTGAATATGCTCTTTATGGTCAGTTGACTGAGAAGAGCGATGTTTATAGCTTTGGGGTGGTTGTTTTGGAGATAATGTGCGGGAGAAAAGCTCTTGATCTGTCTTCGGCGGGGTCACCTCGTGCTTTTTTGATCACCGATTGGGCCTGGTCATTGGTGAAAGCTGGAGAAGTGGAAAAGGCTTTGGATGCTTCGTTGGTGAGAGATGGAGATTCTTCAAAATCAAATCCAAAGGGGATAATGGAAAGGTTTGTGCTGGTTGGAATTTTGTGTGCTCATGTAATGGTGGCTCTAAGGCCAACCATTCTGGACGCGTTGAAAATGTTAGAAGGAGATATTGAAGTTCCACCAATTCCAGATCGACCAATGCCTCTCGGGCATCCTTCATTCCATGCTGATGGCAATACTTTCAGCATCTCACCAGCATTGAGTGGACCAAAATTACATTCTGGAGACATGCTTAGGTAAGCATTAATGTTCTTAAATGTCAATTTTCTGCATTACCTAGTGGATCTTGAGAGGTGGAAGCATGCATGTGGCAGAAATCTTTCACTAGTTAACCTCCATTTTCAAGAATGAGTGATAAAGAAGATGCATTTAAAGTATGTTGAGCCATTAAACTGTATAGATATGGTCAATATCTGGAGATTCATTCCTGAGCATCTCAAGTTAGGACTTAGGAGGTTGAGAGCTTATGGTATTATTGTTTGTGGGCAGAATTTAGTCAGACTTACCAACACTGTGATGCTTTGATGTTCTGAAGTGTCCAAAGAGCTTACAATATTTTTGGTTGTGGTAGAATTTAGTCTGACTTACCAACACTGTAATGCTTTGATGTTCTGAAGCACCCAAAATTTTGGCGAGGCTTGGTAATAAATACTTTGTAGAAGGTTGAAGATGGACATGAATATACAGTTTCTTTTATTTTATTTTATTTTTTAATTTTCTTTTCTGTGGAAGAAATCATTGCCTTAAAAGTATCAGATTGATTGTCTGAAATTGAATGGAAAGGCAATTAGAATTTTAAGAACTGCCTCTTATAAAAAAACTATATTCATGACAAACCATACCTGAAAACATAGAAGTTTACCCTAAAATTCCAAAACTGTAGATAGATTGCTGCTTTTGTAATCAGGTTTCCTCAACTTAGTTCTTTGAGTAATGAAATTTGCTTCATTCATCCAGGAAATTAATGAAACCTCAGTGAAGCTGCAAGGACCATAATCCATGTACATATTCTAATCAACTTATGTGCCCTTGTAAATCCCACCGTGGCTACTCACCATTCCTTTTTTTTTTTTTTTTTTTCTGTTCATACAAACTTTCTATATATTCTTTCACTTCCCATTTATGCGGTCGTCTGTGCTTTACTTAACATGGACATCAGTAATTAGTCCAAGCTGCAAATGTCCAGCCTTGATAACTTGTGGTTCCCTAGCAAATCTGCAGAACAAGAGGATATCCATGTCTTTCTTTTTTGGTGAATAGGATTGTTGATCATAGTGACATTAAAGAGAAAATTGCAAGAGATTTTTAAGTGGCCTGAGACTAAATGAGGTAGGTCCTATCAAGACTGACCAACAAAACACACTTCAAATCACCTTAGTATGACAACAAAAAATGCTTAGTAGACCAATGCCTGACAAAAGCTAAAATCCAAAAAAGAGGACAGATTGGAGCTGATTTCTAAAGCCTAAGAAGTTATAGCAAGAAGTTAAGCTTACCAACAGGACAACAGAAAATACAAATGAAAGGCCATACCAATCAATTAATGAAGCTTATACTGATTAATTAAAGGCTAAAGGTACATCACTTTCAGGAATACCACTGAAGAAACATTTAAGCCAACAAGATTCAGCTCATTAATTTCTATCTTGTGAAGTTGAACAAAACCTTAAAGGACTGCAATTGTTTGGTTTCTTGCCGGTAGTGTGTTTGCCTAGTGAGTTGTAGGTCAAAACAAGTGGCTAAGACTAGTACTATGGTCCAGTAACTGGTCTGCGCATCTAACTGAATTTAAAGTATCTCTGTATTTAGAAAGCTTGAAGATGTCAAGTATTTCCTTGTCATTCTTAACAAAAATCATAAGAAAGTTGAAAACTTATCAATCTGTGCCACTCTCAAAGGACCAGATTTTAGAGGGGTCCTGAATTTTGAGGAGCTGATTTTTGAAGGTAGAATGAAACTGTATGAGATTAGTCAAATCCATAGGAGGTCTTGAAAGACTAGTTTCTTGAACTATACCTGAAAGATTTTCAAAAGCTTGTCAGGCTTCCAAACAGTATTTATGGTTTAAAAGTCCTAAAAACTGATCAAAACTTGACTATGGTCAACCACCTTCCTTCTATCACTTCAAAAGCTTAAAAAGCCCATCTTCATGGATATGAAGGACAACAGATTAAAAGTTGGATCAATTTTCCTTCGGAAAGGTTAAATTTCCATGAGTCTGTCACTGCACTCTTCATCAGGTATACTCTTTAACATCATTACTTCTAATTAATTGCGATCCACTGGATGAATCAATTCCAAGTGATCTCAGCTGCTTATTTTTATTAAGAATATAAAATCTCATAGGCAATAATAACCTTGTAGCCTAGCTACCTGCAAGCATCAGTGAATTTTCCAAGCTTGAATGTCTCTTTTCGAACCATTGCAAGAGGCTTCAATCGTTACTGGCACTTCCATCAAATCTGAATTTCGTTGGTGCACAAGCTCGGACTTCATTGGAAACATTTCCTGAAAAAGTTAAACTCATGCTGCTTGCAATCTCCAGAATAGATTCTTCTGATAGCTTTGAGTTGGATGAGAATGAAGGCCATAACAGGAGTGCAGGTGCATTCAAATCAGTTTGAAAGAAGTGTGGTGTTCATTTAGGGCATAAACAAGATTTGGTGGAGTGGGACAGAATCCTATGGAAGAGGCAACTGATTATGTTAAGCCATGATGAATCCTATGATGATGATGTGGCAGAATCTATTGCTGCTTCTGCTGAGTACCATGATACTTTGAGGCTCAGGATCAATTTTTACGATCCCGATTTCCAATTTTTTTCTAGGAGAGTTCTGTTTTTCCTTGTTCTAGGGACCTGCTATTAAACTGTTCTGTTAGTTGCTATCAGTCCAACTGCTACTTGTGTTTTGGCTTTGCCTCTTACTGCTTTTGTGCTATTATTGTTGTGAACAGTTCAGGTCTTCTTGTATTTTGATCTCGTTGTCCGTAACGGGAGCTGTCACATGGTCATACTACGATATGTATATTCGATGCAATTTCATGCTATGATTTGTTCTTTGCTAGTCTGCTGTGAAAATGTCTTCTAGTATTTGTAAAGCTACTGCAGATTATAGTGCTTCTGCAGTTGGCTGCGTTTGATGTCTCTAATCTCTTCAGCAGGATGAGGGAGACCTGGATTGCCTCTTTCGAATGATGGATTAGACTTTGCAATCTCTTGAATTCTGCTAATGTATTGTAATTTGTGAAATCCGAAGCAAACAAGGACTGGAAACTAGTTTATTACTACGAAACCAAGATATAATTTGTATCCGAAGCAAACAAGGACAGGAAACTAGTTTATTACTACTAAACCAAGAAATAATCTATGTATTCCGGTGGTTAGTCTACTCGAGATCCAAACTCACCTTTATTGTTATTTCTTCCATGTCGGAATAGAGAAAAGAGGAGCTAGTGTTCTATAGCTTCTGGATTAACTAATCAACATCTGAGAGAAAAAAAGCACCTTGTTTTATGCTATTCCTCAAACAGTTCTTTGAGATTGTAAGGCCCAGAAACATCAGGATTTCTACTTCACATAAACTTAGCAAATTGATTATGAACCTTCTCTGTTGGATGAATTCCATCAAAGAAGAGATATTCTCTCGCATCGTCGCATAATTTGAACTTGTTCACACTGCATTTCGAACCTCTATATAGACCACTGCCACAACATGCCACTTTTACCTCATTGAAAACTTCATATCATAGTTTTAAATAACGATCATTACATTATATAACTTTCATTACATAATAGTTTCGAAGAATTTTGTTATTGTTATTTTAGTATTATAATAAACAACGATTCACGATCCAATCGTGATTATTTTTTCAAACATTCACGATTTAAAACTATGCTTCATTTTCAAGTTACAACAATCAAAATTAGAATATATAGGTATAGAAGATTTTTGCAACAAGTCATACCCTGAACCTAAAAACAACAGTAGATAAACGTACCATAATGTGGGGGATTGTGAATTCTTTTAATATGTGAAGTAAAAAAATCAAATTGTGAATGGTTAAATCCTTTCAACTGTCTCTCAAGCTTTTCAAGGGCTTTAGGGAGTTCTGCTTTGCCAGCACTGTAAATTCATCAAAGCAACCTGAGCTTCTTGTTCTAGTTTGTTTAAGTACTCTCAGAAATGGAAAACAACCCAATGAAGCTAAGTTCGAAATTCCAAATTTCCTTCCTCCCTTCTTATACATCTCCTAGAACAACAAAGTGCAGCCATAGTCTACGATCAGCTTGAAAAAACACAAAAAACATAAGAATTAGAGAATGTTAATGTGATTAACATATTACTTGTATTGCAGATGTTACGTTGTCGATAACCATCCCAACGTACACTTTTCTGCTATAGGATGGAAGCAAAGTGGAGTTTGTGGTAAAGAGCTGAGTAAATCAATGTCTGAGCTTCTTCATCACCTAATTTCTGCCCTAGTTGCCTCTCCACTTTCTTGAGATAACTTAATTAGAGTTTTAAGGTCTATCACCTTCAAGGAACGGGAACAAATGAAAACACTAAGAATCACACTTGAAAATATGATGAGAGTTAATAACCCTTAAAACATATTTAGAAAACTCAACTCTAGATTTACACAGTTCTATGCATAAAAAAGTTGAGTTAATGGCTCAACATGTCCTTATATAATAGAATAATTAGCCGATTTGTCCTTAATTATACTAATCCTTGATTAAAAGAGTTTATTTTAGGGGTAAAAAAAAAAAAAAAATCAGAATATGCTTATCTTTTTCAATAAGACGGGAGCAAATTTTCATTTTTATCCAAATGTGGCTGCCGTTTTGTGCGTATTCGCACGTGTGATTGCGTTGGCTTGTATGTGCGCGTGTGGGGATTGTGTTCGCATTATATATTTAACGTAGTTGGAGATTGACTTCTACTAAAACAATATTATTTAATTAGAATCTACTTTGCTTTTAAAATATAAAGTTTTTTAAAAATAAATAAAAAATAAAAATCACAATAGAAAAAATCTCTTGGACAGATAATAATAATAATAATAATAAAATCAGTTTGTAAATAAAACTAATATTTCTATCGTTAGGACTACAAACTACTAAGCGTACAATTATTAAATTAGTAACATAAAAAAATTATAAGACTAGCAGACTAAAATTAAGATAAATATCATAGAGAAAAAAAAAAAACCAAAGTTTATCTGTCAAATTGCCCATATAATTATTTGGGTAGATAAGTACCGCATTCGGATGCTTTGTATTTTGAATTTTTTTAAGAAACAAATTAATTATTTTTTTTTCTCAAACTAACTATTTATTTATTTATTTTTATCTATTTTATGTTCTATTCTATTTTTTTTTTACAACTAGAAAAAAGAAATAATATGAAAAGATTAATGAAAAAAGATATTTTAAAAAAATAACAATAAATTAAACGAGTCCACAATGATCAAGAGATTAGATAATGATTTTTTGACATAAGAGAGACTAATTATTTTATTTTTCAAAACTAGAGGAATTAATTTATTATTTAATCTTATTATTAATCTCTCTATCTAGAAGAAAAAAATTCCTATGTGAAAAAATGAGATTTTTTTAAGGTATTTTTGAATCAATTTGAGTTTAAGTAGAAATTAATTTTTTTTATTCAAACTATAAACTTTTATATCGGTATAATATATATAGAGAATTTAATAATTTTTTTTTTAAATTTTAACTTTAGAATTTAAATTTAAAATGTTAATAAAGGGATCAAACTTCTTTGCCAAACACAATAAGATTGCTTCTTTAAGTGACCAACTTCCGGCATGAACTTTCTTGAAAATGGTGCATTAATTTTCTGTAGTTTATCAAAACCTTGCTCAAAGTGTTTTTCAATCAATTACATCCCTAATGTTTTAACTGTCTTTCAATTAACCCTTCCGTTCGTTTATGTTAAACAAACCAGCAGGTGGAAGCTTTTGTATTAATGTTTTTTCATCACGTGGCTTGCTGGGAAAAAAAAATAAAAAGAACGAAACAAAATTTTTAGCCCATATAAATTTCGTCATAATATAAAAGCAATTTCCTTAAAAAAAATTTCAAAATACAAAAAGAAAAATAAAAATCAATTAGAAAAACCTACAATTTATGTAAAAATCTACCATTCCAGATGCCGTCAAAAACCATTTTGTCAAATTCGAAATTTCTCTCACTTTAATGTATATTTAAACAAATTTGAAAATTGTTAAATCTAGTCATCTTGGCTATGCCTCAAATTAACAACTTAATTAGTTTTCAGGTTCTTCCATGTAATTGTTTTAGGAGGAGGGGTTGGAGTTTTGATATGGGATTAATTAATTAATAATACGATTCATTTCTGTATTTATTATAATTTCTTAATATAACTTTTTTATTCTCTAGATTTTTTTTAATATACCTTCTTTAATGAGATTTTGTTCAAATTTTCAAATAAATAAATAAATAAGTGAACTAATATGTCAGATGGAAATGGCACGTAAAATAAAATATCATATAAAAGTAATACGCGATAAAATTTTAAACATTTACCTCTAATATTTTGATTTTACATGTTCTAATAAATCTTACATTCAATAAGATATTGACGGAAAAATATGAGTGTTCTACTTTTAATACACATGAAGAAAATTATTTTATCAGTTTTTTTTTTAAAAGAAACATATAAAAAGATGAGAAATTTTATATAATTTCAAGAGTAGGTACAATATTTATTTCATGAAAAAAATATAAAAAAGAAAGAAAAATTATTTTGGGATCCATAGACCCATCGAAGAAGAATTTTTATAATCTTAAAGTAATTATGAAAATAATTGTTTTTAATTTTTTAATTTTTTCTTTTTTATGTCTATCTCTCGCATATTAATAATTTCATTTTGAATAGTATAAAATTTATCAAGAGAATTTGAGAAGTGGGAAAAATTTGAGAAACCGTCCAAACTTCAGGGAGTGAGTAAAATTTACCCAACACGTCCCTCCCTGTCTATTAAGCAAAGATCAGATTTTGCTTGAAAGCCGAAGCCCCTTCTTCATTTATAATCACTCAGCTGCTTTTCAGTTGGTCAATCCACCGGAGCATTAGTCCATTTGGCAGGATGGTTGATTATGTGGATAAACAGAAACGTATGCTCAGTTGACTGAGGCAGGTAATAACTTTTGGTACAAGTATCTTTCTTCCAATGGACCTTGAAGTTTAGATATCAATCTATATCTGTACTTTTAGTTTTGGGATTTTTAAAAAAGCTTTTGTTTGGATGGCCGATTATAATATCCAGAAGGAAGGAGTCTTCGTTGGTTTATTCGATTTACTTTTAAAATATTTTAGATGATTTTTGTTTAATCGAATTTTTTTTTAAAAAAAGTTAAAACTGAACCGAAATATCATTCGATTTTCGGTTTGGTTTCGAAATATTTCAATTTCGATATTCGATAATTTGATTTTTATCAATTTTATTTCATTTTTACAAATAGCTAATTCTATTAAAGTTTTTGAAATCTTTATTTAGAGATGATTTCCTTCACCTTTATAGACTATTACCTAGGAAACTAAGTTGCGTAAAAAAATGAAAAAATAGTAAATGTATTGGTAGATAAACAAATAACAAATTGTCTACTTAAGAAGACTTGAATTGGAAACGATAGAAAATCTACCAACATCTTTGCTATTTTGTGCATATCCGGACTTGTAGCATTGATAAAGAGAGCACGTACAAATCGGTGGAAGGAAGTGCATATAAAAAAGAAGGGTTTTTCAATTTGGGGATGCATTGAGTTATTTGAGGATGCACTCGAGTAATCTAACTTTATATATATATATATAATTTCAGTTTTTTGGTTAATCAATTTTTTTTTTAAAAAAACCAAATCCGAACTCGAAAACCAAAATTATTTTAGTTTTTTTTTTTAATTTTTTTAAAAAAGTATATCGAAATTGATATTTTAATACTATTTGATTCGCTTATTTAGTTTTCACCGAATAGTGAACACCCTTACCAGAAGGAGTCTACACTGCATCTCGTGCTTAGGTTGCACAAAGGGATGCAAATTCAATTCATGTCTTGTCTTCTGATAAGGTTGGCCAGTGGCTGTGGATGATCTTAGGGTGTCAGGTTCTGGTGTCTTATGCTGGCAGGGTGATTGTAGTAATAATAGACGATGATGAAATTAAATTAAGAGTTGCTTGACATGATCAGTAGAAGATGAATATATTCTTTATGAGAGCTTCTTCGTTTGTCGTCTTATTAATTGGTTCTAAAAGTCCAGTGCCAAAATTCATCTTTGATGCTGTTTGACAATGCTTCAAGCTTTCCTTCTATCAGAAGTACCACTAAAAAAGAATCTATGTTTGAGAGAAATCAATATATAGATCACACCTTTCGACATTTTAAATATAGATAGATAGTAGAATAGACTAATCGATAGGACCGATTTGAATTAACAGATGCGACTATCCACTGGGAGAACCTTTACTTTCCAGCTTTGAAGTCGTTTCTGCTCTCTAGGAATCATAGGTTTCTATGTAGAAATTGGTCGAAGGCTTACTCCCAAAGGAAGAACAAGATAACAAAAAGAGAGATACCCAATCTTGTATCTTTGTCGAGCTGCTATTGCATTGCCGAAATGAGAGCGAACATTAACACCAATAAAAAGAAACTTTTATAGAAGTTCACTTTCAATCTGGAAGATATAGATCAAAGCAACGCAATATCCTCTTTATTACCTTTATTGAGGAAAGATTTTAGGGCAGTTCTCAAGGTAGAAGTCATTAATGTCTGTGGCAGCAAACAAAGGGCGGTTTCGCTCATTTGGGGCAGCCACGAGGCCACCATTGCCAGTCCCTGAAATCAAATCAAAGTAGTCTACAAAAATATTGAATAGCAAAACAACTACCCAGTCATATACACAGGAGATAAAACTGGTGTTTACAATTATATATACGTACCGATTGCACATAAAAAGCTAAAACTATTAATTTCTTATGATCTACCTGAAGTTCAGACTCTAAAAAGGCAAGGATAGTTCCTGGTATAATGCCTCTTATTCCACCTCCATCAATGATAAGAATAGTGATTTGGTTTCCATAAGTTGGAGGTTGAAGGGGCGATCATGCAGTTTCCGTAACTGACAGAAGTTCCAAAAATATATCTAAAGAGGGAATTAAGAGTCCTGGAAGTGGAAGAGTTAGAGAGGTTTAGCATAAACTTTCTGAGAGTTTTGAGAGATCGATAGCTAGTAATTGTTGAAACCTTGCTATCTCCACAGGGAATGCAGAGGTTATAGACTTCTAGTCCTTGTGAAATTCGGAATTTTCAACAGAAGGATTTTACTCTCCCAATCCGGATAAAATAAGGAAAGTAATTATCAATCTTTGTATTACTTTTGAACACAAACTCTAAATAGAAAAAAAGCTAATGCCTAGGTTTATTTTACCGGCCCCTTCAATCCCAATCCAGTCAGGATAAAAATTTCCAAATCTTAAACGGAAGCAGAAAATTAATGCTATATATATTGACCCCACCTCCCTAATTCTTGCATGCAAATCTCTCTAGTCATTAGTTAGTACGCTCTCTCTCAAGCCCTTCTGTTGTCTTAGCATGGCTCGTTCAGTGATTCTTCTGATCCCCATTTGTCTTGCTTTTTTTCCATGGTCATGCTTAGCTCAACAACAACCATGCGCAACCTACAAATTTTCAAACAACAAACAGTTTTCTTCTTGCAGTGATTTGCCTGTTTTGAGTTCTTCTCTACACTGGAACTACCATCCATCATCCAACAGAGTTGATGTTGCCTTCAGGCATACTGGTGTAACCGACCGCAGATGGATTGCTTGGGCTATCAATCCGACTTCAGGAGGGATGATAGGTTCGCAAGCCATCGTTTCTTTTCCAAGAACTGATGGAAATCTTGCAGTTTATACCTCGCCGATAACAAGTTACAGAACGCGATTGGAACAAGGAAATCTTAGCTTTCCTGTCTTCGATGTATCTGCTACAAATCAGAACAATGAGATGATAATCTACGCCAGTCTACAGCTCCATGGAAACATTAGTACAGTCAATCATCTCTGGCAAGTAGGTCCAATGTCTGGAAACACTCCAATGATGCATAGCGTTGCTCCATCCAGTCCTAATGTTAGATCCATGGGGAGTTTGGATTTCCTTTCGGGGAGGATTACTTCTACAAGAAGTTCTCCAAGCACACTGAAAATCGTCCATGGAATATTGAACACAGTAAGCTGGGGTATTCTAATGCCTATCGGTGCCATCATTGCAAGGTACATGAAAAGGTTCGAATCTGCAAACCCTTTGTGGTTCTACTTGCATGTCAGTTGTCAAATGCTGGCTTGTATTCTTGGTGTTCTTCCTGGATTTGTGACTGGGATTGTTCTTGGCTTGAGGTCCCAAGGAATCGAACATACCTGTCACAAAATCATCGGCATTGTCCTATTCTGTCTTGCAATGGTACAGGTGTTGGCTGGCTTGTTCAGACCTAACAAAGACAGCAAGTATCGGCCTTTCTTCAAGTGGTTCCACTGCTTGGTGGGTTTTTCAACACTTATCCTAAGCGCATCCAACATATTTGTAGGATTTGGCATATTACGCACTGCAAACTTTTGGAGGAATGCCTACATTGCTGTATTAGGGGTCTTGGGGTTCATCGTGCTGCTATTGGAATTATACTTTTGGTACATTAATCGGATTAAAGGTCGGAAGTCAGATACCTCGGACAAGAGCAAGTCCACCGGCATTGCATCAGATACCTCGGACAAGAACAACTCCACTGGCATTGCATTAGCAGCATTGGAAGAGGTTTAGATTCTACGGCTAGGGCTTCCCTTTATGAAAAACTCATTGAGGCAAACATATACTTTGTACAATTTTCAATATAATAATTATCTGAGTAAGATATTTCTAAATTCCATAAATGTGAGCTTAGTTGAATTTATAATATTAAAATTTATAGCTAGTTTTTCATATCTGGTAGCCATGGGGCTCACTTCCCCTTTCACCGAATGAAATTTCTACTTGGTTATTCTCATAATGTTATGTGTTTGGAATTGAATTGGTCTTTTTTGGTGTTTTTAGGCACTTTAATTATTGTACAAATTTGAAGAAAAAACCCCTATTTTTATGAAGGAAACTGTCTCATTTCTACACAATCTGAAATAATTTATAAATAGTTTATGATTGTTGCTCTTTTGTCTCTCTTTATATGTTTCTCAAATTTTCCTTCTGTATCTCAGGGCTGTATTATTCAGGTTAAGCATTGTACTATTTGAGATTGATTTAGTCAATATTGATTAGATCAAACCCATTTTTAGATCCAACTCCATATATATATATATATATATATATATATATATATTTTTTTTTTTTCGGATCAATTTTAGTATCATCTCACATTAAGTCTATTTTTGAAACTAAATCAATGTGCGAACTACTTCTTAAACCAAATCAACCTAAGCTTGGTACTACTAATAGATAATTATAGTTATAGTTAGCTATGGTAGATAGTAAGAAGTAAATGTTAGTATTGGTCAAATCAAAATAATTCTCTTAGTGCCAAATTAGCCTAAACCTAACACTATTAAGAGATAATTATGATTAGTTATCATAGATAACAAGAATTGAATATCTGTACGATCAGCCAAAATAACTCTCTTAGTTAACTTTTAATAATAAATCCATCTTAACAATCAAATATATCGTGAAACTTTCACATAGTGTACATCTAAAAAACTTCATTACATGAATTTTGGGAAAGTTAATATTACATTTGGTTAATTAATAATAATTTTAACTACAATTTCTTTAGTAGAGTTTTAAGATTGTAAGGCTTGACGATATCAGCACCTCCACTCCACATTAGCTTTGCAAATTGATAGTTTGCCTTTTCCGTTGGATTAATTCCATCAAAAAAACAAATACTCATTCACACTATCACATACTGTTTCAGGACTGCGACCTATAAGGTTTCCTTTGTATGGACCAGTTCCACAACATGCATGCCACCACACCCTCCTTAAAACCTTCACACAATTTCAATGACATGTTAGAATAGACAATATTGGAAACTATGCAAGCTGTAGTAGAGAAACATTGAGAAATAGGCAAAGATGTGTAGGAAAACTTTTCGAGAGGTACAATTAGTAGAGAGGCATACCATATTTTGATGGGTGATTAACTCTTTCATTTGTAGCAGCATAGAAATCAAAAACTGAATAGTTAAATCCTTGAAGCTTTTTCTCAAGTTTTTTTAGGGCTTTATTTAGTGCTTGATTATGGAGTTTTGCAAGCACCGTAACTTCATCCATGCATCCTACTGATCCATTCTTTTTGGCCTCTTTAATTCCTCTCAGAAAAGGAGAACAACCCAAATCACCTAAATTTGAAAATCCAAATTTCCTCCCTCCCAAGTTATGAATTTCCTGATACACCAAAGTATAATCAAATAAAAAACTTGCAAAGATAAGAATAGAAAAGGTGGTTTTATTATGTTAATTACCTAAATCACAGTTGTGAGGTTGCCAATAACCATCTTGACATACTCTTCCCTTTTGTAGGATGGGAGAACGGTGGGGTTGTGAGTGGCAAACGTTATGTAATCAGCGCTTCCAATGCTAAACATGTAAACAGTTTTAGACAACAACATCTTCGTTTTTGCATCACAAATTTCTGTCTTAGGTACTTTTCCAGAAACTCGAAATGGCTTAGTTGAGTTGTAAGGTCTATCGTCTTCAAAAGGGAAACAAAAATAATCATTTAAAGTGGATGAAAAAGTGTTCAAGATGAATTTAACTTTTCCATGTCATGCAAACATTCATTCCAATAAATACCTATTTTTATATATAGAAGCATTAGCCGTACTATAAAGAGCAAGAAAAGCATAAAAGAAAGATAAAAGGATCACATACCATTCCTACACGAGTATGAGTGAGAACACCAGCCCCTGCTGATGCGAAGTTCACTCCATTTCTAAAATCACTCTTATCTGGACTTGGATATGGTGGAATTAATGGTAACTTGGCAAACGCGGCGGTTAATAAAAAAACATATTCCAACAGTTCATTTCCTATAAAAATCAACAGAAAAGAAAAATGATGCATAGTATCTCATCTGTTCTCACCAATAAAATCTGGAAACAATCGACCATCAGAAGCCCTTCGTGTTGCATTCTTAAAGAAGGCTTCCCCGTATGGCAAGAAGTTAGTTTTGAATGGAGTTTCCATATAGTTATTATTTCCAACATCATTCCATGAACCACCAAAAATAAATAAGGCATTACGAGACTGACCACCACAGCTTGTTGCAACAACAAGGCTTGCAAATAACACCAAAAGCAAAGAAAAGTTATTGAATCTTAAGGTTGCCATATTTCGCTTCGGACAAAAGTTGGTGGTTCACAATACAACTCTGCTTTTGAATTTATACAAGAAAGCGTGCAATTTTTGTTACCTCTCCCTTTGAATTCTCCTCATTTCTAGGAAAAAGAAGAGCAAAATAGTTTGATAATACTAATTGCACGCTGGGACACACTGGCGAGGATAGACCAATGGGATTCCTTTTGCTGCCAAGAAAGAATTTTTATTACTTTGGGAAAGCCAAGTGTTTTGGGTTGTAGTCATGCATAGCTAATTACTTAGCCCATCAAAGGCTGTTTGAAGGTCGTAAACAAGCATATAAATTTGTTTCTGCTACTACGGTTGGTGGATTTACAAGCATTTTTTTTTATATATATATACAGCCTTCGTGAAAATCCAAAATTTTTAGATATATGTTGTACACCTAAATTAGATGAATAACGGGTCAATTTGCTATGCACAACACAAGCATGTGCCTTTCCACAACAATTGACTGAGAGTTCCTAGCTAATGATCAGGACGGAGAATTTTTGTGATATGGCATTCAAATCTTTACAAACAGTTATGGCACAAATTATCAGCCAGATTTCTGTGATTCATTTTGGCATTAAGCCTGATTTGTTGACTTATTACAATAAATAAAATAATCTGAAGCAAAGTCCGACATTGTCTTAATATGATGATATCTCTGGCGCGCTGGGCTTCCTTAATATGCATATGTCCGCAGTTTGTTTCATCTTGAACCAGAAATTGACATAGATTAATTATCTTGGATAACATTAATTATTTGAAAATGTTTCAGCTCATTCTTAAATACAATTGAGTTAAAGAATTCATATAAACTGATCTTAATTAATTAGCTTGAAAAAAATTCACTTGTTCAATCCTAGTGAATATGTACAAGTTTCAAATTTAAAAGACTTTCAATTAATGAAATATATTAGAGACCGTCAAAAAATCATCTTAACCCAAAAACTTAATTAAATTGTTAGATGAGACTCTAGGAATGATTTTATATGACTTTCTAGCACCATTTAAATGAAAGTCTTTTAAACTGGAAACTTGTAGAGGCCTATACTATCTTGTGCTTAATTAATTAAAAGAGATAGTAGATGATGCAGCCTCTTTTGCGGAGACTAACAAACCGAGTAGGGAGGAAGAGAGTAAAGAGAGGGGCGAGAGGGAGAAAATGAAGGCGAGAATTAGGAAGCGAAAATTGGGAAATAATATTTTCTGCGTTCCTCTATTCATTGTTCAATTCTTATAATGAAATGGTCGACAAACTTGTAACAAATTATGATAGCTCACAATATTCTAACAAACTCTACCGATTGTGCCGACTAGCAAACTCTTCTAATTATTATTCTTCACATAAAATTGGTTAGTTTTGTTGGCCTATGGATGCTTCTCTTGCTTCTTCTAAGTAGTGGCATTACCGAATTTCCTTGTGTGATATTTGGGCTCGCATCATTATCCTTCCCTTCCACAATGACCTTGTCCTCGAGGGAAAATTGAGGAAGTCCTGTTTCATATTTGCAACTCGATTCCTAAGTAGCATCGGAGGTCGGTTGACCCTCCCATTGGACTAGCACTTGTGAACAAGACGAGCCTTGTTGGAGTATCCGGTGATACCCTAGAATGTTGATAGGTTGTAGCGAGAGGATGCTCGATCCATGAATTCAAGTGGTAAAGGGGCGATCGACAAGCTAGGGTCACCCACAAATCTTTTGAGCTTAAAAACACGAAAGACATTATGGATTCGAGCTAAGGGTGGGAGAGCAAAGTGATAGGCCACCGATCCTATCCTCTCGATAATCCGAAAAGGCCCAAAGAACCGTCAAGATAGTTTATTAGATTGGCGATGGGTGAGAGTGAACCGATGGTATGGTTGTAGTTTAAGGAAGACCCAATCATCCACGTTGAAGTTGACATCTATCCTTCTTGAGTTAGCTTGATTTTGCATTTTGTTCTATGCTGCGAGCGATTATCATGTAAGGTGGCCAACACTTGAGTATGTGATTGTAACAATTCATCAATTGGAGCTACATAAGAGGAGCCCAACCACATAATCAAGCGGGGAAGGTAGGGTTCGACTACGGACAACTTCAAAGGGTGTCATTTTGATGGTTGAATGCCAAGAGGTATTATAGTGCCAATCAGCCCGTGGAAGAAATGGCAACTAGTGATGGGGATGATTAGCAACAAAGCACCGAATATAATTTTCCAAGCAACGGTTTAGTACCTCCGTTTGACCGTCCGTTTGAGGGTGGTAGGCATTGCTCATAGCTAGAGTTGTGCCTTGAAACTTGAACAACTCATGATAAAATTTGATCTTAAATAGGGGATTGCAATCGAAATGATAACCCCGTGTAATCGAACAATATCTCGGATAAATATCTCGGTAACTCAGGGAGTCATAAAATGAATGGCCATAGCTGAAAAATGACATTGCTTAGACAAGCGATCCACCACTACTAACATCATGGTTTTGCTTACGGAATAAGACAATTGAGTGATAAAATCCATGAAAACGGAGTCCCATATTTTGCTAGGGATAGGTAACGATTGTAAGAGGCTTTGAGGGGTTGTGTTTATGAGTTTGGCGGTTTGGCAAACTTGACATGAAGCCACAAACTCACATATGGGCTGCCTTAGTCTTGGCCAATAAAAGGTGCCGGTAATCCAAGCTAATGTCCCGTGCATACTCGTGTGACCTCCCAAAGGGGAGTTATGGAACTTTACAAGTATGAGGGATTGAAACATAGACTCGAGAGGAATAACAACCCACCCTTTAAAAAGCAATAAACCATCCTTAATGGCACAGTGAGGGTTGTTAGCTGGATTACTACGAATGGCTTGCATCAAAGCTTTATAGGACTATAGGACCGGTAAAATTTCCCGAGTGTGTGCCATAAGGCTAGCACTTGTTGGGAAGCTAGAGCATGGAAAGAAGCTATGGGCAAGCGAAAGAGAGCGTTAGCGAGCCCATTCTCTATCCTAGGCTTGTAAATGATGTCGAGATCGTAGCCAATGAGTTTGGTCAATTATTTTTGTCGTTCGGAGTCCGGATGGTCCGATGCAATAAGGACCAAAGGCTTTGGTGGTTAGTTTAGATTGTGAATCGATGCCCCAAAAGGTACCGGCACCATTTTCGAATAGCTTTAGTGATAGAAAACATTTCTCTAGCATAAGTGATAGAAGATTGCATGCAAAAAGACATTTATTTGTTGAAGTACGCTATCGGGTATCCTTGCTGTGATAAGATTACCTCGATCCTTGCTCCCGATGCATCCGTCCGAATGACAAAAGGCATTGTGAAATTGGGCGGTGGTAACACGGGAGTATGGACCATAACTTCTTTTAACATTTGGAAGGTAGTAGTGGCAACGAGGGTCTAAATGAAAGCATTTTTGCACAATAAATCGGTTAAGGGAGATGCGATGCTAGCATACTTAGGCATAAAATGATGATAATATCCTTTGAGACCAAGGAACCCATGTAAGGTTTTCGGAGAACTTGGCAAGAGCCATTATCGCATTGTTGCAATCTTGTCATTATCCACAATAACCCCTTAGTTGGAGATTTTGTGCCCCAAGTAGTCAATTTCGGAGCAACCAAACTAACATTTGGATATTTTTACGAATAAGTGTTGAGATTGTAGGAGAGTAAAGACTTGTTGCAAGTGTTGTAAATGGAAGTCCCAAGTTGGGCTATAGATCAATATATCATCGAAAAAACGAAAACAAACTTGCATAAAATGTCTTTAAAAACTAAGTTCATGAGAGTTTGGAAGGTCGAAGGAGCGTTTGTAAATCCAAATGACATGACTAGGAATTCGTAATGTCCTTCATGTGTTCCGAAAGCGGACTTCTCAATGTCGACTGGATGAATCATGACTTGGTGGTAACCTTCCCATAAATCTAGCTTGGAGAAAACCTAGGCACCATGGGTTTCATTAAGTAGTTCATCAATAGTGAGGATCAAAAATCTATCTTTGATGGTTACTATATTTAAAGCTCGTAATCAACACAAAAATGACATGACTTATCCTTCTTCGACCAATAAGACAGAGTTAGGAGAAGAGGCTAGTGTTTGGGTGTATTATTCCCTCGACCGAGCATGTCCCTCATAAGCTTTTTAATCTTTGACTTTTAAAAATTGAGGTATCGATATGGTTTGACATTGACTAGGTAGGCTCCAAGTGTCGAGGGGATTCGATGGTCCGAGTTTTCTTGAAGGTGAAAGTCCCGTAGGTGTGGAAAAAATGAAGGAGAATTGGGTCAAGAGAGAGTTAAGTGAGGAGATTAATGAAAGGGGAGCGTTAAGGTTAATTTGAGGTGGGGGATTGGGTAAAACGAGTGTCTATAGAGAGGTGAAAGTATTGGGCAATAGAGTTGGTCTTGTGGTATCGGTGTAAGGGAGTAGTGGAAATATATGTGAAGAAGGGTTGTTGTAAACTTTAGAAATGGACCCGTTTCCCCGATGTGTGAATTCCATCCATAATGCTTAGTAATCAAACGGACTTGGTCCCAATTCAGCCAACCATTGGACCCCCAAGACAATATCATCCCCATATATGAGCAAGAGCAATAAATCCATTGCGAATAAGGCTTAGTCCAGTTGGAGTGGAATGCGTAAGCATGAGCCCACACAAACCAATGAGTCTCCATTATCTACTATTACCTTCAAGTGTGGGAAGGTTGAATCGGTAGTCCCAAATGAGTGCTAGCTCGGTCCGTATAAAGTTATTAGTGGAGCCTCCATCAATGAGGACCACAACCAATTGATCCTTAATATATCCAACTAGCTTGAGAGTAGAGGATACTAGTTGTCCTATGAAGGCATGGAAAGGGATCCGCGATATTCCTTTAAAATTAGAATTAGGAGCTTAGGGTAAGGGGACTTCGGTTAGTTCTAAGTTAGCTAGGTTAGGCTTGATAAGGACCTTATCCTTAACATAAGCTACGAGGCATATGAACTGCGAAGGTTTGTAATGATGTCTTGGTACAAAT